ACACACACACACACATACACACAAAAGCAGAAACTCACGATGTCAAAGTTGAGGGAGGTGGCGATCCAGTCTCGCGCCACCTTGTACTCCTCGTCCAGCCCCATGACGTAGAGCGTGTCCACGGCGTCCACGATGGTGGCGCCCAGGCCCACGGAGCCGAAGATGCTGGAGGAGTGGGCGCGCCGGGAGATGGGCTTGTGCTCGTTGGCGCCCCAGCCGTACTTCACGTACGTGGACCAGGCGTGGCGCATCATCTGGGGGGAGGGAAGGACAGAACAGGGGGATATGATTAGGTTTTTGTTGGGTTTTTTTTTTTTTTAGTTTTAGTATATGATTTACGGCACTTGACTTGCAACACAATAAGGCCATACAAGTACAAGTGCCGAAGATTAGAGGTGTTACAAGAGAGTAACAAACACAAAAAAGAGGAAGGGGAGATAAAGACGATAGATGTTTGATAGGAAAGAAGAAGCAAACCACACCAGAGCACCTGCCAACTAACCACCGATAGACAGAAAGAACAGCAGGAATTAGTTTTTTAAGTAGGAAGGATTTTTTCAGTTGTTTGTTCGACTGAGTTTGTTTTTTTTATGTAGGTGTTCTAATATTCTTTCAGCCCTCGCCGACACAGTTTTGATCATTTAGGAGCCGGGTTTCCTACTACCGTGTCTGCCTGTCAGGGCTAACACGGGCTGAGAGGAATGATTAAATACATCGCCCCAACCAAAACACCGAGATAATCAATAAAAATTCTCTTCACCCGGAAATCAAACTCTGTCTTCTGCGCGAGACAAAACAGCGCCAAACCGCTACATCACAGACGCGGGCATAGTCCAGCACGAAACCCGCTGAACGTTAAGAGCATGCCCTCGTGGCCGTCTTCCTCAAAATGATTAAATAGCTCCAGTTCGAGGGGTGAGCGTCATTTATCCCAGCCACCTACAACTTCATTACAATAATACGGAGAACGGATATTACTGGTCTGTCGTCAGTGGCAGGGCCGGCAGTGGGAATGTCGTTGGGAAATGTGAACGATTGCAACCGGTAACCCCTTCGGTCAAGAATCAGTGGACTGGTGATGTATCTCCACACACACTCCCTGGCACTGGTGTAGCTTGTCAGAGGAGACCATACAATCTCTCTCTCTCTCTCTCTCTCTCTCTCTCTC